CGTCGCTGGCACCGGTTCACGAGTATGGCCGGATCTTATATGGAATATCAGCGTGGGTTTACTTGAGGCTCTCGTAGGCCCAGCAATGGCTGGCATGAGACCCTCTTCGGCAGTGGTGGGTGGGCCCTGCTAAAGGAGATTGGCTCTAAGACACTAAAAGTAAGACCTCATGGGTTGGTGCTGTGCACCTCAGAAGCGCGGTGGTGACGCCGTATGCCGGCTTGGTTTCTTAAGGATTAGCGTGGGAACTCCGGGGCCTGCATAGAGTTTGCATGAGCTAGTATGTAATCTCAGAGGCATGTGTGTAATGTGTACACAGTGGCGGTCGCGGGGGGGGGAGGGGGGCATCAGGGCCATGCCCCCCCAAGGTCAATAAAGGGGGCCATCATATCATTTGCCCCCCCCCCCTCAAACAACCAATGGGCCCCCATATAGGTATATGGGGCCCTGGCAATTATTCGATCGTCACGAAGCTAAAAAAAAAAAACACGCCCAGCTATTAATATAGCTCCCACACCGGTCTTTGAGCGTCCTACACTGACCTCTGAGGGAACTTCAGTGGCGGTCAAGTGCCCACGTTGACCGCTAAGAGCCTACATCAACCTCTGAGACCCCACATCTGGCCTATGAGGGCCCCTAACAGGCCTCAGGGGTCCCAACCGGCGTCTGAGGGTCTCACACCGGTCTCTGGTGGCCTTATTTCTGTCTGTGGTGTCCCAAGACGAACCTTAACCCGCGCGGGGCTGGGGTCTCCAGCCGAACGCGCGGGGCTGGGGGGGTAAATTTTACCCCCCCTGTTATCTCCCGAACTAATGGTCCGATTTGGAAAATTCAAACGCCAATCGAAAGCTCTCATCACGAAATACTACAAACATGTACTTAATTTAAAGTTTGAGGTCAAGGTCAAGGTCAGGTCAAGGGTACAAATTGCAAGTTTCTACAGTATCGGCCTTGCACCGTAGTTGCCAAAGAATGGAGTCATGGACTGAGACTGATCGCCCAAAACGTGTTCTTAGGCTACCAAGACAATATTCGTTGCATACAATATCATTCAGAGGTCAAGGTCAAGGTCAGGTTAGGTCAGGTCAGGTCACCAAAAAACAAAATATAGAAAAGGGCATGTGCGACACATGTTTTATGGGTCATTTTACTCATAGAATTCAATAGGCACACTCAATTAGTGATATGGACCACCTCTGGATGAATTTCAGGTCGAGGTCAGGTCAAGGTTAGGTCAAGTGAGGTCAAATTTTGAAGTTGGTTGTTAAGGCCTAAAAAGGTGTCTATCTGATGCAGTTTTTCACGGCAAATCGAATGGTGCTATTTTTGTTTCCGTACGAGCTCTAGAACTTCCAAAAAAGTCATTTTTCAAAAAAAAATGTGTGTCGTGACGTCATAAAATTTTGAATAACTCCCACATTTTTGAACCGATTCTTCTAAAATTTGGTATGTAGGTGCACATAGACCACTTCTCTGACATATATTCCGGTTTTTTCGATACACTCAACATTTTGGATTTTATAATGATTTTTCCAAAAAAATCAGTTTTTTGAAAAAATTTAGGGCAAAATCCAAAATTTTCAAAAAACCGAGATAGCCATTTGATAGACAAAGTAAAATTACGTATAACCTTTTTTGTTACGTCTTGATTCCTTTAAAAATGAAGATGTTAGCGGCGTTTGAACTTTTGCCGTTTTTGAGGCGAAAATGGCGAACATGACGTCACTAAAACGTCAATTTCTCAAAAACTTTCCGACGGATTTCGCTCAAATTTTCAGGGAACGTGTCAAATTGATGTAAGAAAAGGTACTGAAAGTTTGGCGGCGCTGCGCGCCGCCGTTTTTGAGATATCGCAAAAATTCGCGAGGGGGGGTAAAATTTACCCCCCCAGCCCCGCGCGGGTTAAGGTGCCAATGAGGGCCCCGCACTGGCTGCTGAAGACCCGATGCCGGCCTCTAAGGGCCTGCATTGGCATTTGAGGAGGGCCCATCTTGGCCTTTGAGGGCCCTCTGCTGGCCTCTGGGGTCCAACGACGGCTCATGCCGGTCTTTTAGGGCCCCACGCTGACCTCTGAGGGCCCATGTTGGCCTGTAATAACCCACATTAGCCTCTGAGAGCCCAACTCGGTCACTGATTGTCTCAAACTACTGGCCTTTGTAGTTTGCAGGCCCTGTACTGGTCTCTGAGGGCCCTAAACTGGCCTCTACGTGAAAACATATATGGGTGGGTTTCTGAAGATCAGAGGGCTCACGCAGTCTCCGGCACAGCCTTACGTTGGTCCTGATCGAGATTACTTTGCGTCCTGATGGTCCGGCGCAGATTCCCTCATATTTCGACGTCGGGACCCCATGAGCCGGTGTGGGTCCTGGGGCTGGCAGAGACTGATGAAGTCTTTAGGGCTCAGGGCCAGTCTTTTTAGCAGTAAGACTAGGCAGGTTGAGTGAGCCCCAATAGAGCCGCTGCGAAGCCCCGCAGGAGTCGCGCGCGGCCCTCAGATGCCAATTTTGAAAGCTCGGAACCTGTGGGGGGTCTCCAGAGGTCGGTCGGTGTACCTACTCTCTCCCGCCGCCACACAACTAGGTATGTTACCTTACCTATATGAGTACATGTCATAGTCTGAAAATGCTCTCTGGGTTTCACATGCTTGTTCAAAGCAAGAGGTATCTGTACTTTTCCGAATTGTTTTAAAGTGGTAAGGTCATGAATCCGCGTGCCTGACCTTCCAGTATACCTATGCTACACCGATCCGTCGTCATGGTGCAGTGGGCCGACCGGTGGAAGCACCGTGGGACGGGAAATGGAACTGGTGATTTTGCCTTAAATTGAGCTTAAAAATTTCACGCAAGAATCAGATGGATGAAGCATAAGTAATGCCAACTGCGCGGCACCTCGTGGACGTAAAAAATTAGCCGATCACCCCCCCCCCTCCCGGTGACAGATAAATGTTATGTCCCGCGAGTGTGACTTTGGCCCCCCCTTTTGCTAGCGGCTGCGACCGCCAGTGGGGGGTTGTTACGACCCCCCCTGGCGTTTCGAAACGGAAGGTCGTAGAGCTTAGCGGAAAAAACCAACGGATTGCTCTCAACGAGATCTCGCGATTGGTGGTATATTTTTTTGTCCTAGGTCAACATTTGACCTACTTTTGACCGGTCAAAGGTCAAATTTTCGGAAAAAAAGACTTTTTTCCAACTTTCCGCGGCGATTGCGGCAAAACGGTGGGAGATATCGACTTGAAACCTTCACTATCGTGTTCCTTGATCAATTCTCTATCGTTTGGTATGTATTTCGTTTCCCTAGCTCTAAAAATGGCGCGTTGGGAGCGCCGGAAGTCGGCAAGGTCACAGTCGGCGGCAGAAATTCGAAAAATCAAAATTTAAATTTTTGAAATCTGATTGTATTTTTGGATTTGGAAGGTCCATTTGCTCCTTATAGAAGCTAATATTGCTGCATATTCCCATTGAGGTGACAAGAATTAGCAAAATAGTGGTTCGGGCGCTTTTCAAAAATAGTACCGGACGCTGTTCCTCTTATGACGTCATAACTCCGTGACCTGACCTGACCCGGTCAATTTTCTTGCACCACACGATAGCCAATGCTTGCCCCAACATGCATGGGAAGTTTCATCATGATCCATCAAACAATGTGGGTATCACCGGCAGAAAACCTAGGGATTCGGCGCACACGTTTGGTAACTGTCGGCCGGAGGCTGTACCTCTTATGACGTCATAACTCCGTGACCTGACATGACCCGATCAATTTTTTTCGGCAAAAGATGCGCAAAGGTTGCCCCAGAGAATATTGAAAATTTCAGCCCGCTACGACAAGCCGTTTAGCGTGCACTTCGAAAAAACCTCAGGGGGGGGTTGATACAACCCCCCCCTAGGCGTTCTAGGGTTAAAAGAAAGTTTATTTCGGTATAAATTGCTCCCTTGTTAATGACCGCTGCAAATGGTCACTTTTTAGTCATTTATTAGGGATTTTTAGGGGAAGTCCCCCGGATCCCTCGACTGGGAGGACGCGTACACCAGTCCCCCACCTCCCGTTTTCGACACCCATGGATATAAGACTCTCTTTAAAAAATATCCTTTCTAAAGCAATGACAAGTTGAATAAAACAATTATTTTACAGCGTATGTTATAATAACATTATTACAAAATTATTACGTTTAAAAAAAGATATGGTTGAATTATTCTTCTACACCGATTGTGTTTGGGAATCCACTCTTTGACCAATGACCATGCCTATTGCCTGGTGAATGTGACACATCCTCAATGTCTGCGCTAAACACGAGCCGCAGATATCAGAGCGAACAACAAATTCTGCCTTTGTTTCCTACCTAGTTAAAAATTGTAAATTGCGAACAGAACAAATAACAAAAATAACAAAATGTCACCACCCGTATTCAATCAATCGCTACTCCAGTGCTAGTCTTAACTCGATGTTTTTGAACTTGCAATGCATAGGTACGGATGGAATTGCACCTGACCATACTCAGTGCAGCCATCACTGACTGACACTGGGTGTGACACCTGGTGTGACACCTGGGGACACTGGGACTGACCAGTGACCATGGGACACCGGGACAGACACCGGGACTGACACCGGGACTGACACCAGGGGACACTGGGACTGACCCGGGGGACACCGGGATTGACACCAGGGGATACCAGGACTGACACCAGGGGACACCGGGACTGACACCGGGACTGACCAGGGGACACCGGGACTGACCCGGGGGACACCGGGATTGACACCAGGGGACACCGGGACTGACACCGGGACTGACACCGGGTGTGACACCGGGACTGACCAGGGGACACCGGGACTGACACCGGGACTGACACCAGGACTGACACCGGGACTGACACCAGGGGACACCGGGATTGACATCAGGGGACACCGGGACTGACACCGGGACTGACACCAGGGGACACCGGGACTGACATCAGGACTGATCAGGAGCCGCGCGGTCGTCCACCGGGTTCGTCATCCTGACTCACGTCGCGGCGTATGGTCTTGCGCGCCTTGTTGTCGGCGCTCTCGTGCGACACAAAGTGAGCGTGCGAGCGCAGAGCCTGCGTCATCTTGTTGAGGAACGTCATATCATTGGCTTCTCCGGGCCTCAAACACTCCTCGTCCAGGAGCGAGACGATACCTGACAACACGAGAACAACATATAACACTCCTCGTCCAGGAGCGAGACGATACCTGACAACACGAGAACAACATATAACACTCCTCGTCCAGGAGCGAGACGACACCTGACAACACGAGAACAACATATAAACGATACCTGACAACATGAAAACAGCATAAGGATTTACATTTCAAGATATTAGTGCGTGTGAACTATACGTGTGAAAAGCGTTATCTTAAAAATTGCATACACACTCACTTTATCCGGGGAGAACCGTCTAAGATGCCCAGGGTAGGTAAAACAGCCCATGCTTGATCCTTGTTTGCACTCATAGTGTTACTCCGAGTCACTTTAGGTCAAGTTGCCAAGTCAAGTTATGCCAAACTAAGTCACTAGCGGGCCAGGATAGCGCTGAAATAGAGGACGAGCGAGCGCCAAAAAAAAAGGTCAGTACTGCTCATGCTTTCCATAGGATGGCATGGAAACTGCTACTACCTTTTGCTTGAGGGGCATTCCACGTCAAATCAAACACCGAAATCCGTCATCCCCTTCGATTTTCTGAAAATTTGTAGGCAGACTGGGCATGGTTCAAAACTGAGTTACGTATAATATTTTCGAAATTTGATAACGTATCGCTGAGATATAGGTCATCGAATATAGCGAAAAATGCCACACATCAATTTTTTAAATGGCTATAACTCTGGTTCCTTTTCTGGTATCAAAATGATATTAACAGGGTCTTATAGGCAATTGATAAGGCTTTGATTTTTAATTATAAAATTAAATTGAAGCGACCTTGAAATGCATTTGACCTTGAATTAAAACAGAAAAATTTAAATAGCAAAAAACACGTCACCTTCGATTTGGGTAATTTTTACATATTATGTCCGTCACAATGTTCCTAACCAGCTGTGAAAAAATTGGAGTGGGCCATTCATAACTTTCGCGGCAAACGCCGTCTTCATGCATCAACATCACGCAACCGCGCGTGACCTTGAAAGACAGAGTCAAGACATGCTTGCTTGTGTACACTTTCTGAAATGAATGATTGCTGATTAGTGATATCCCAAACTCTGCGAGAATTGAAATGCATAGTCATCGTAGTCAAGCATTCCCGTTCCACAGTAAAAGTGTCTCAGGCAAACGGTATTTTGCGGTGAATTTTGAGCCGTGTGGAAATGCATCATGAAGTAAATCCAACGAAAACATTATCACGCAACGATATCTTCACGTCTTTCGATCTTCACTATACGAAAGAACATACATTTTTTGTATGTATGGGGAATTTCTAGTTAATCCAATAATAAATATGGCAGTTAGAGGCCTGCTAAGAGTAACATGTCGCCGGCTGAGGCGGGCTCGGCCGATGCGGGAAACGCAGCAATCACAATTTTGTGTTTACGCATTCATATTTCAATTGTTTACCAACCGATTTTCAAAATTCTTTCACCATAAGATTGCCTGTACATTTCTTAGTCTTCTCACAAAATTTGACGCGAATCGAACGTAATCAGCGGTAGGGAGCGCGATGTAAAGACGGAACCGTTCCGTTCCGTCCCGGCACAGCCTACAATTCAGGCGGCGCGTAGCGGTCGGCGCCGGCTGCCGAGTCGCCGCGTCGCTGCGGCGACAGGATGTTCACTTTACACCGCTATTGCTAGACCAGTTGTGAACCGATTTTCTTATTGCTTGCACGATGAGATGTCCAATTCAATTCTTGACAGGTAGCCATAATTAATTTCGCATTAATATTATGAGATATTGGCGAAAAACAGGAGGGGTGGGCGAAATTCGCTCTTCCCCCTCCACTGCGCGTGCTAACATACGTTTGCATATGTGCAATTTTCTTCAAAACTTATGAATGGCCCACTCCAATTTTTTCACAGGTTGTTAAGAATATGGTAGGCAATAAAATATATGAAAATGAGCCAAATCGAAGGTGACGTGTTTTTTGCTATTTCAATATTTGTGCTTAAGAACAGAGTTAAGCAAATTTCAAGGTCATATATTTAAGAAGGTGCAATTCTAAACAAATGCTTAAGAAATTACCTAAACAGTAAGGTTTATTTCATTCAAATCAAACAAGTACAACCAAAGTTATGGTCGTTCAAAAATATAAAGATGCAACATTTTGTAAAAATTTGATGCCCTATATTTAGAAGACCTGTGGTCAGAATGTGCAAAAAACATCAATGTAATGTCCGGGGCCACACAGGAACTCGCTCACAAATTTATACTGAAATCGCTGATGGTAAGGTGCAAAACAGCCGATTTTTGTTCGATTTGACGTGGAATGCCCCTTGAATGTGTTTGTGGTCTTTATATCGTCTGTACTTGAGGCGCCCGCGGACTCGCATGGTCTGTGTTTGAGACGGGTGGCTATCAAAGCATACAAAAGCGCAGCGTACAATCCTCAAAACATACAAAATCGCAACATACAACGCGCAAAACCTACAAAACAGGCCAGGTAGGGGACAGCCCAAACGTACAAAAGCGCAGCGTACAAAATCCCAACGTACAAAAGTTTACCGTCCAATGGGTAAAGCGTACAATGGCAAATCAAACAATGATCAGAACGTACAAAATTGGAACGTACAATGGCAGATCAAACAAACGCGTATCATACAAAATTGCAACATACAAAACGAGATGATCGTATCATACAAAATCGCATCGTCGAAAATCGGAAGGTACAAAATGCCTCTGGTTGACGCCGGGTGAATTGATATTTAACAAGTCAGCCACCAGATGGGGTAATGGTGCTGTGGCAGTGGTTTTTTGCAAGCCACTAGGAAATAGAGTGGAATGCCACTAAGTCCCTTAGAAACATGATACCTCTGGACGCTGCACCGGCCGGCTATCGACGCTGCGGGCGGTCGGAGGGTGCCGAGGGGAATGGTTCCGAGCAGGCGGGAACACGATACCTCTGAACGCTGCACCGGCCGACTATCGACGCTGCGGGTGCCGCGGGGACCGGTGCCGAGCAGGCGACGAGGAGAAGCGGGCATCAAGACCGTGAGAAATCTATTATATTGGCGGGTGTGTATATGTAGGTAAATAAGGCAAACGTGCATAGGTATGTAACACCTTCAATCCTTGATCACACACCCCTACCCACGCACTGCGGGGGGGCTGTTTGAACAACCCCTCCGGTTTCTCGCGAATATCTAAAAAAAACGGCGGCTCAGAGTGACGCCGTGTTTTGCACATCTTACCATACATCTTTTCTACACCTTCTGTGAAAACTTCAGACCAAAGTCATCCAAGGTCAGGTCACCATATCACGTCAAGTGACCTTACTACATGGAAAGTTTCAATGCCTGTCACAGCTACACCGAGTGACTGATCACTTTGAAAGTTTGAGCAACTGATAAAACAACAGTATACACAATACACATAATGTATACAATACTACTAATAATAATGATACACAAAATGTATCTCTCGGAACTTCGATATCGGTGACCTAAGGTCAGTTCAATTTTGCGACCTCTCCATTATAAGTCAATGGGAGAAAATTGAAAGGCGCCTCTTTTGGCCGAACGTCATTCTAATCACTTTCAAACATCGAATTACAAGTAGACATGACAAACTAAACCGGAAAATGGTACCCGTGACCCCTCTTTATGTCCCTGAGGTTATCTCAGGTCTCGAATGGTATCCTACAGTTTTTTTGCAAATAACTTTTGACAGATACATGCTAGAGCGATGAAAAAACCTTATATGTATGTGTTTGGCTCGACAATACGGATCGACTGATGCAGCATGACCTTTTCTGGTCAGGTCATGACATTGACCTGAGGTCATGACCTTGTCATGAGGTCATGATCTTGACCTAAACTAAACTTTTTAAGTCGAACTTTTGAGGTCAACTTATAGTTCTTTCGATGCGTCGCCTTGACGAGAGGAACACGATGCTGCTGAAAGTAAGCTCGTGCATGTTTTGAGTCAAAAGGTATTGCAGAAAGACAGTTCCCGCAAAAACCATCTACCTATTCTGGCAGTTTTTGGCCCCTGCACGCTAAACCGTTCCTAAGCTATGCGCCGGTTTGTCGAAATTATCGAAGTTTGACCTGGAAAGTGGCGAAATTTTACCTTTGGTGACCTCTGTTGACCTGACCTTTGAGCTGACCTAAAAAGTGGCCGATATAATTTCTTCATTACTTTTGCCGCTCTTTCGAATGCCGCCTTCGGCGTGTCGCTACGTGGCCCAGGAGCCGAGTGAGAAGGGGGTGTTCAACCCCCCCCCCCCCAGTGCAGGTGGCGCCGAGCACCGGCCCGGCGCCGGTTAGTCAATCGCATGGCGTTTAACATAACGGTACATCATCGGTGTTTAACCCGCGCCCTGCTGAGGGGGGGGGGCGTTTGAACACCCCCTCCTGTGTTTTTTTCACAAATATCTCAAAAACGGCAGCGCGGAGCGCCGCCGTTTTTGGCACACCTTATAATACATTTTGTACATACTACTGCTCTTAGCAATCGTTGAAACTTTCGAAACGATCGGTCACTTGGTGTAGCTATGGCGGACATTGAAACTTTGTATGAGGTGAGGTCACTTCAAGTGACCTGGTGACCTGACCTTAAATGACCTTGGTCTGAAATTTTTAAAACATGTGTAGACTGTAGAATTAATGTATTATAAGGTGTGCCAAAAACGGCGGCGCTCCGCGCTGTAAACTATACTGAGTAAACTATACTCTGCATATCTCAGAGTTTTGATATCGATGACCAAAGGTCAGGTCAATTTCGCGACCTCCCCATTATAAGTCAATGGGAGAAAATTGAAAGGCGCCTCTTTTGGACCAAAGCCATTATAAACACTCCCAAACACTGAATTACAAGAAACCGAGACACATTGAACATGAAAATAGTATCCGAGACCCCTGTTTATGCCCCTGAGGTCATCTCAGGTCACGAATAGTATCTAACAGTTTTTCGCGAATACCTTTTGATAGAGGCATGCTAGAGCGATGAAAACGCCTTGGATGTGTTCAGCTCGACGATACGGATCGACTGAT